CTCAAAAAATGAGTTTGGAAGCATCCCTTTTAGTTTTTGGAAGAGTTTAAGAAGGATCGGTATTAATTTGAATTTGTAATTAGTCTGTTCAGGCTTTATATTTTTAAAGTCTACCTTGGTAAGTTGTATGTTTCTAGGAATTTATCCATTTCTTTTAGATTATCCAATTTGTTCACATATAAATGTTCATAATAGTCCCTTTTGATTCTTTTTAGTTTTGAGGCACCTGTTTTAATATGTCCTTTTTCATTTCTGATTTTATATATTTGATTCTTTCCTCCTCTGTTCATCGTCAGTTAAGGGTTTGTCAATTGTGTTTATTATTTCAAAAAAAACTGATAGTTTTGAAATTTTTCTGTTTTCCTATATTCGATTTATTTTGGCTCTAATCTTTATTATTTCCTAACTTTGCTAATGTAAGGTTTAGTTTGCTGTTCTTTATCTAGTTCCTGAGGTGCAATTTTAGGTTGTTATTTTGATCTCTCTTTCTTAATATAGGTGTTTATTGCTATAAGTCTCCCTTTTATTACTCCTTAAACTGCATCCCACAAGTTTTCATAAGTTATTTTCATTTTTGTCACAAGATATTTAAAAAATATTGATTCCCTATTGATTTCTCTTTGACTCAGTGGTTGTCCAAGAGTGTTTTGTTTAATTCCATGTATTTGTGAATTTTCACAATAAGATTAGAGGTAAATAGTCCCTTAGTGTGAGGCTGTATGATTTCTTGAATAGGCCTTAGACTATTAATGTTCGCTTTAGCTGTAGGTGTCAGGGGCTTCACTAGCCTCTAGTGTCCTTGTATTTTTCTCCCCTGGTGTGTTTGCCCATCCCTAGAAACTTAGTCTTAAGTAGTCTGGTCTTGCAATCCTCTACTTTAACCCACTGTTTTTATACTGGGGCCTTGTTGATAGGAGGGAAGACATTAGTGTGGGAAAATGTTCTCTTATGCTATGATTAAACCTGTAAAGGTTTCATGGGACAGAATCCCTGGACTATGAACTTGACAACACCATCTTAGCATTTGTTCCTCCCCTTTAGCCAGAGAGAAATCCTGAAGAGTCTGGGAGTTGTCTGACTGCTTTCTCTAATCAGATAAACTTTTGGCAAATTAATTTCCTTTGAGGGATGGTCTAAGTCACAGAGCACAGAATGCTTTGTGTGTACATCAGAATGTTTCCACCTGGAATGCTTTCCAGTCTTCACAATGAGAAGCACCGTGGGCTGCTGGTGGAAAAATACATACATTTTGGAGGTTCCCTAAGACTGGACTCCCCAATGCTTTTAATTCTCAAGTCAGTCCAATCTACGTCTCCAGTAAATCCATCAAGAACAGTTTCTGTGTTCCTAGAGGTTGCTGTCTCCAGTTGTTTCTCCTCCAAGTAAGTGGTAATTCTCTGTATTTGCTGGTCTCTCATTTTGGGAGCATTGGTTTGCCATGTAATCTCAAATCTCTCTTGGATCTAAGAGGTGTTGCTTTTCAGATTATTCACTTTTTTCCATATTGTGAAGATGAGATGATCACTCAGAGTCCTTTGCGTATCATAATGGAAACCACCCTTCACTTGTGTTGCTGTATTTTCCCTTGTGAGACTATTCCATTTTCACTTGGTAATTCTACTGGTAGGGCCATGTGGGTGGTTTTGGAATTTTTCTTTTGTGACTAATGCATCTAAAGACATTATCCTGGAGTCTCTGTATTTGGATTTCTTTTCCTTATAAAAATTCCCTAAACTGAATACGTTTGTCACTCAAAAGACACCTTCCATTGGTTACCTTCTGTTTTATCATCGCCCTTTTGGGGCCAGGATTAACGCTCTACCTAAAATGGGATTGGATGTCAAGACTGTGTCACCACATGCATCAAGTTGATAGAAATATATTTATTACTCATCGGTACTTTCTAGGGAGAGTAGGACAAGGGCAAGTGGGTTGGGTTGGGTTGGCTTGTGCAAGGAAGAATGGCTAGAACCATTAACGTGTACAGAAGTAGAGTCTGCAGGTTTTCAAGGTTTTACCCTCCTACCTGTTGGCACAAAAAGAAAATGGGCAAGTGTCAACCTTCCTGACTTATTTACTCATTGTGGGCCAGACAGAAGGAGCAGGTGTCTAAAGCTGATGAAGACCTGAATATTAACAATGACATCAGTGTCTTCATCTAGAGTTCACTCCTGAGGCTTATTAACTGAATGACATGTTTCATTAAATGAATTTGAATTTGAGTATTAATTGAAAAGCCATGTGAAAGCACAAGAAATTATGATTAGGATCACAAAACCTCAAAAAATTTTTTAATCCAGTCATCCCAGGGTGTTGGAGAGATCCAGGAAAGTGTCAGTATGGTTCTAGAACTCTGTTCACATATTCTAGTAATCTTATTGTTTAATTTGCTGCCTCATTTGTTGTGTCCTTGGTGGCACCCTGCCAGTGCAGCCTGCCCACATGCAGCGAGCAGACATTTTAGGGGAACAGAACTCACCTGCCTGGTTAATAAATAGTCCAAACCCCAAGTAGTCAGCAGCTACCATGGCTGCCAGGGGGTTTTCCTTCGGGTACAACATCCCAAACATAAGCTGTCTGCTCCATGTATTTTGAATGTTTGGGACATTTCTTGATTGGCATTAAAGATGTCTGTTGAATGTTATGTGTGCCCAGGTCAGAAACAGTCACTCACAGGCCAATGAGCATGTGAGTGTGAGTAGTGGGAAAACTGCATATTTGTGTTGGATGGACTGAAGAGATTTTGAAGGAAGGTGCCCTAAATGAAATATTGGCACACACAGCACACAGACTATAGGCGATGTTAGGAGGAAGACCCAGGAGTGGGATATGAGAGTGGTGGCCAGGGGGCACGATTACAAGAAACCAAAGACCTGTAGAAGTGACCAGAAATATCTAGTATAGAAAGGCTCTACTTAGCAGGTGCAAGTTTTATGATCAGAACAAAGTAATAAGCCCCAAAAGCTGAGGATTGGATGCAACTCAAACAGCAGGAACATCTATTTAGAAGAACACAAGTTTTGTCTACGTAAGCCTTAGCTATCCCAAGAGGATTGCAGCCTCGGTCATAAAAGAGGTACAAGGTCCACTGAATCCTTTTCCAGACTCTAGTGTATTATATGTTGAGACATTCGTGGATAATATCAATAATTTCTAGAGCATCTTGGTGAGTCCTTGATTCTGGCTTCAGGAGGATCATGTATGACAGGAGGAGTAATTTGTCTATAAGAGGGTCTACCATGGTCTGAGCGTAGCAAGCAGCCCAGCAGAGGGGGTGAGCAGCCCGACAAAGTCCATCTACCATCAGCTCTAGGGACCCCTCATCTACCTGCACTTAATGCGCATGGATTCTATTACCTGTGACACGTTTTTTTCACATCAGGTGCTTTGGTCAGTCACTAAGTTATCTGGGAAAGGTGAGGGAAGTCCGTTGAATTCTGCCTAGACCTTTAGGTTAGAGACGTCTTAATGGTTCCATATCACAGGGGCCCATGGACCAAGATAAATGCCATCAGGTCTGAGGAGTCAGTATGTGTCTCAGAAATTTGAGTGAATTTATAGCCCTGAGCAAGGAAATGAGCCTCTGCAGACTGAGGTGTAACATGTGCAGAGTAAGGAGTGACTTTAATTCGTACTTGGGTATGTGAGGCAAAGTATCCCAGAGTTCTCCCAGTGACCTTGGGTAAGGAGGTGTTGCTGTTGGTGGGATGAGACAGCTAGATCATTGGCAAAGGGTAAAGGATCAGTAAACGTGTGCAGATGAGTCTGCTTCTTGCCCAGGGAATTCTCTATAGCCAGCATGATTACCTGGAATTTGACTCATCAATCTGATCCAATCTGTGATCAGGGCTGGCCTGTTTGATCTGGGGAAGAACACAGCAACTCTGCAGTGGACCCATCAGGTGGGGTGGTGCACACTGTGCACAAAGTATAAGAACTCCCTGGTCATTCATGTGTCCCCATGTCACACTTGAAGGGGCCAATGTGTCTAAAAAGGAGGTGATCTCCTCCAGAATGCATTACATCAATCACAGAAGAGGGGAACACACTCCCCTCTGGAGACGTGATATGCCAGAAGTGCCATTTTTGGCTCAATGCTGCAAGTATCCACATCTCTTCAACGAGGAGGCCTCTGGTTAGCAGGCCAGAGGGGTCCTGCATTCATGACCCAAGGCAAATGGGAAGCTGGCTGTGGAGGATCATCAACTCAGGCCCTGGGAGGGCCTCCCTTTATAAAAAGACTCTGTCAGTTGCCATCGGTGGCTTCTCTGAGTGCAGTACTGGAGGAGAATAGTTTGGGTACAAGAATGCCTTGGGTGATTCATGTCCAGCAGGGTAGATTTGGCGACTCTCGTATGCATCATGGGAGGCTGCTGAAGCCTCTATGGTAAGTGGATGTGGGGAGACGCTCCTGGAGTGACTGTTATTTTGACAAATTCTAGAGCCATTTGTTTCCCCGTTCAAAGTCAGTCACTTGTAAGTGCTGTGTGAATAAGGAAGCAAGATCTGATGATTATATGACAGCTGGATGTCTGTGACTGACAGAACATGCCCGTGACATGGTTTCTACCACTGCTTCTGTCACCCTCTCAGCTCACAGCTCCCTCGTGTTGCCTCAGAGAAACTTTCCAGAGGTGGATATGTGTGAACTTCTACAGAAGTTTCCACGTAAGTGGACACAGAGCAGGCTTGAGCTGGGAAACGAGCTGGAAGTGGTCTATGGATGGTAATGGAAAGCAGTGATGCTGATGCACATGAGCAAGGATGTCCCCAGACAGGTCCCACCCTGGAGACACTTTTTTGTTTCAGAACCACAGTATTTCTACAGGTCTGTCCACAGAACCTGATTTAAACTCAAAGATTCTGGGAGCCGTTTCACTTCACTCCTAGTTATGAGTATGAGATGAGGGCAGGTGCAACCCTAGGGGGTTTTTTCACAATTAAGACAGGGTTCCAAGAAAGGCCAGTTGAGGACTGAATTCTTCTTCTCTGTCCTTCAGTTCTTCGTAAGAAGGATCCCAGTGCTAGAAAGAAGTGCTGAATGCATAAAAACCAAGGATCAGAAGAGTTTAATGTTCTCCTAACATGCGAAGGTGATTCTGTTATTCATTTTCTATTAATTATATAAATGCATATTTTTTAGGTATAGTTGTTAATTTTCACAATTGTATACTAATACTGCATCAAAAAATGGAAAACATGCCATCACTAAAAAGAACACTCTTGTGGTGCCCATTTGAACGACATCCCTCCAATACATAACGCTAAAAAAAAACGGAAAAGAGTAATAATTTATTTTGCTTTTTATGAAACCTTGTAGCTGTTACTGTTGTTTCTGACTTTTCCACAACATAGCTGGACACCTAAGCATAAGGAGCTGAAACCTGTGAACAGCTAAATGGGCTATGAGACTTTATGGATCATTGAAACTAAAGACTTCCAGCCACTCCTGTAATGAAAAGATGTTGACAATTTCCCATTTCTCCTCTTACACTCAAATAGGATCTTACTCAAAATGACACCCTCTCTCTGCAGCTCACCTCACTTGTTCCTTGGCTGATTGCTGCTAAACACCCAGAGCTCTTTGTGGTATTTCCACTGGGAGATCACAGTGGACTTGCATAGACGTCACCCTACTCACAGAGTACACTCAGGATGAGCTAGAACAGTGCAGATGAAGGCCACTGTTCCTCTAAGTGGGAGGAACTCCATGGTTTAATGGGGTGTATGTTGCACAGTCTATACAGCAGCAACATGAAAATGCCAAATACTACAACATTTTAAGTATTTAAAGGTAAATAAAAATGCTCTCAAATGACATTAAACACAAAAAGACACCACAAACATTTGTGGCTGAAATCAATAGGAAGTCTCAAGTCCCAGATAACAATAATAATGACATTCTCACTTATTGGGGCTCCTACCTTCATAGAAGAGATGTATAAACATCTCAGCGACCCTATTAGCTCAATGTTTTGTTTTGTTTTACTTTCCGTCAGAGCCCTTATTTCCATCTTGTAAGACAAGGGTTTGCCATTTGTTAATCATCTCTCTTTTCCCACAAACACATAAGCACCAGGACTGCAAGAACTTGTATGTCTCATGCTGTTATATCCAAACCCTGCCATGCCTTATTTCTGCTACACTGGGTACACTGACTCTATAGTGCATGGCAGGTGAGGGATGCTGAAACACTAGCATCAAGAGCACAGTCTCTGAGAAAGAAAGGCTTGATTGGCACAGTGGCCCTGTGTCTCTCCCTTGCCAGGTGTGTATTGTTTCACAATTTACCTAAAGTGAAAGGCCTCAGTTGAGTCACAAAGAAGATATTAAAAATATCATGTGTATAGTAAGAAGTGAATTTATATAATCTAACTGAGATACTTTATGGTAAACGGTGTCTAAATACACTGTGGGAAATATATCAGTGATTTGATAATAAGTAGGAAAGGCAAAATCTGTTCCAGAGGACCAGGAGCTGGCCTGCATTTACTGCAAGTTCAAGTCTTATCCTGCTGAAGAGACAAACGTCACACCTCCTTCATCAAACATACACAGTTACCAAGACGAAACTAACGGTATCTTGTAACCACCCCAGTAAAACTGGTAAAAGATAAAATTCTAAACCATAAAAATGAGTAATATTTCCTTTTTCTTACTAAAATGACTAACTGGGACTTCTTAAAAATTAATTTTAGTTCCATTACATTGTTTTTGCCTTGCAGAAAACAATGATTATGTTTACCAAAGATAAAATGTTTACCGAAGATAGAATTAAGTTTACCTCCTCACAGCTTCAATACAGAAAGTGACCTGCTTCCTTGAATAGCAGTCAAATCCACAAACACAGGCCAAAATCTTGTAAGAAGTCCTTCTGAGCACCATGTTACTGTTATTCCTCATAGTCCTCTGTGGTCTGTCGTCATTCTTACTAGAATTTGTTACACCCCTCTCACTACAGGTGCAATCCTGCAGGTCACTGACAAGAGGGCACTGAAAACACCATGATTTTAAGTTTTGGGTGAAGAATGAATGAGAAATTAGTGTCATGACAAAAACTGTACATATAAAAGAATAAAAAATAAAGTTAGCCTGAGGAAAAAATAACTGAATTTGAATACACATGATAAAACTGACTCATAATGCATAATGATTAAGTAAAGAAAATTGCAATGTATATCAGGAAACCCATAATAAATATGGATTTTAATATCTTCTCTCAGGAAATGAAAACCATGATAATAGTTATTAACATACGATGGCTTAGAAAATAGTTGATAAAATGTATCGTTGAAACAACTACAGAAGTGTTCATTTCAGAAGGAAATGCACATAATTTTAATGACACACAATCATACATTTTTGAAAACATATTGAGGGAATATGTTCAGATACAAGTAACAGGAAACACACAATCTTCCTGACATGAGAAAGGTGACTGTTCTCATGGAAGAACTGGGTCAAGGCAGCCACTGCACAATGCAGGAGAGAAATGGACTCCCACATCCTTCTTTTTATGCCCCATTGTAGACGTCATGGTGAATCAGGAAAATGTGTTCACTAGCACCATTAACAGCATAAGGTCTCTCCTATACACATTAAACCTTATTCAGCTATCATCTAGAGAAGCGGGGACTCAGAGAACACTCTCAACCACAAAGGTCTGAATTAGTTTCCTGGTGAACACAAGAGGCCTTACAGAAAAATCCAAACTCTAATGAATCTTTGACGTGAAACTTGTAAAAACATCAGTGGAAAATACACGTGTAAGAAAATGGAAATCAAATAGGTGTTGGTGGTTTTCAAGATACTCAAAGAATCCAGAAAATGGGCTGGAAAGTGGTTTCCTTGAAGCTCCTACATAACTGTCTCCCTCCCTGTGTTGTGGCTCCCAAATCTGCCTAAGGCCTTGTGTGCTTCTGCCTTCCAAATCTCATGCAAGTGAGGCCATTGGGGAATTCCAACACGGCACCATAAAGGGGATGGATTCTTAAAGATCTGGTTCTTAATATTACCCTCACTGACATAATGCAATATAGGGGTGATGTGTCCAGCTCTAGAATTTGTTGCCCTATCACAGGCCTCTACTTATTTCAAGGTCTATTCACCAAATCAGTCACCAGTCAGAAGGAAGGACAAAGAACAAAGACCCAAATATGAAAGTAACAATTCATTGAAACTACTCTTTGATAAACTTGCCATACATAAAAATTTATTCCAACTGTTTAATAGTATAAAAAGTAAAAATAGGCTCCTATACCCACCACCCCCAAAAGGAGCTTTCTCTAAGAAAGGAACATATACAATGGGTTAGGCACATCCAGGAACTGCAACACAAGGCCAGTAAAAAAAAAAAATCCCAAGAAACACAAACTGTCATTTTTCAGTGATGTCTTAACACAGAACAATTAAAACATGATAAAAAAATTAGAGAAAATATTAACTGATTTAAGAAAAAAGCACTACCTAGTAATCTTATGTACTCTTTTTTTTTTTTGGTGAGGAAGATTGGCCCTGAGCTGACATCTGCTGCGAATCTTCCTCTTTTTGCTTGAGGAAGACGGTCCCTGAGCTAACATCTGTGCCCATCTTCCTCTATTTGTATATGGGATGCATTGACATGGATGGCTCAATGTAGGTCCATGCCTGGTATCTGAACCTGTGAACCCTGGGCATGAACCTAACCACTACACCACTGGGCCGGCCCCTAATCTTCTGTACTATTGTTGATGACTTGTAGAATTACCTCACTTCAATGTTCATTTCTGAAAGTAATTAACATAAATCCACAATACAATGTTGCACTTTAAGAAAGAGGCTTGGTAAACAATATATTTACAACTTTTATGCAAATCTTTCATGTTGAAAACTTCCTGGAGCATTATACATAAGTTAATTTCTGCCAAGTGTTCTCATATTACTTACATTTATATTTCTTTTTGGTGGAATTTTCACGTATAGTGACGTAGGCCAACTGAAGTCTTTCTCATGCTGTTTACTTTCAAGAGGTTTTTGTCAAGTGAGTCCTTTTATACATTCAGAGAACTGGGATGACAAAAGACTTTCTCACATTCATTACATTTATATGGTTTTTCCTCTAGTGTGCATTCTCGCATATCCTCCAAAGTTTTCATGAGAAATAAAGTCTTTCCCACTTTTCTGTCAATCACAGTGTTTCTCTCCAATATGAAACTCTTTCGTGTCTTTGCCGAGAACTGAGAAAACTAAATGCTTTACTACAGCTTTTTACATTCATGTGGTTTCTGTCCAATGATTTCTTTTATGTATTTGGAAATTTTGATGAGAACTGAAGGCTTTCCCACATTCTTTACATTCATAGGGTTTCTCACCAGTGTGACTTCTTTCATGTCTTCGGAGGAATCTGGGATAAATGAATGCTTTCTCACATTCCTTACATTTATAAGGTCTATTTCCAGTGTGAAACATCATATGTGATCGAAGGCTTGAAGAATCTATAAAGGCTTTCCCACATTCCTTACAATCGTAGGGTTTATCTCCAGTATGAGTTCTTTCATGTCTTCGAAGACAACTGGAAGTAGTGAAGGCTTTACTACATTTTTTACATTCATAGGGTTTCTCTCCAGTATGAGTTCTTTCATGTTTTCGAAGAGAACTGGTATAACTGAATGCTTTACTGCATTCTTTACATTCATAGGGTTTCTCTCCAGTGTGAATCCTTTCATGTCTTTGAAGTGAACTGGGAGAAATGAATGCTTTCTGACATTCCTTACATTTATAAGGTCCATCTCCAGTGTGAAAGATCATGTGTGATCGCAGGCTTGAGGGAACTACAAAGGCTTTCCCACATTCCTTACATTCATAGGGTTTCTCTCCAGTATGAGTTCTTTCATGTATTTGAAGAGAACTGGGACAAGTAAATGCTTTATTGCATTTTTTACATTCATAGAATTTCTGTCTATTGTGATTTCTTTCATGTATTTTGAAAACTTGAAGAGAAATAAAAGCCTTACCACATTCCTTACATACATAGGGTGTCCCTCCTGTGTGAGTTCTTTTGTGTTTTTTTAAGTTAGTGTACAAACTGAAGGCTTTCCCACATTCTTTACATTCATAGGGTTTCTCGCCAGTGTGACTCCTTTCATGTATTCGAAATGAACTGGGATAAATGAATACTTTCTCACATTCCTTACATTTATAAGGTCCGTCTCCAGTGTGAGTGACCATGTGTACTCGAAGGTTTGTGAGAGCAATAAAGGCTTTCCCACATTCCTTACATTGATAGGGTTTTTCTAAAGTGTGACGTCTCTCATGTATTCGAAGAGTGCTGGAATGACTGAATGCTTTATGACAATCTTTACATTCATAGGGTTTTTCTCCACTGTGACTCCTTTCATGTACTCGAAATGCACTGGAAGAAATGAAGGCTTTCCCACATTCCTTACATTCATAGGGTTTCTCTCCAGTATGAATTCTTTCATGTATTCGAAGAGAACTGGAGAAAGTGAAGGCTTTACTACATTTTTTACATTGATAAGGTTTCTCACCAGTGTGAGTTCTTCCATGCATTTGAAGAAAACTAGAAAAAGTGAAGGCTTTCCCACTTTCCTTACATTTATATGGCTTCTCTCCATATTTTTGATACTCATATGATTTGTGTCCAGTGTGATGTCTAACATGCCTATTAAGGGATGAATGATGCATGAAGACTTTTCCACATGCACTACATTCATGTGGTTTAGCTCCAGTGGTTTTCTCATTCAGATTGAGATTTGGAATAAGGCTGAAGTTTTCTCCACATTGACTACCCTCTTCACTTTCACAGAGTCTCAATTCCATATGACTTCTGTAAAAAGTGAGAAGCACATTGTTAATGATTTTTTTTTTTTTTTTTTTTTGAGGAAGAGTAACCCTGAGCTAACATCTGCCACAAATCCTCCTCCTTCTGCTGAGGAAGATTGGCCCTGAGCTAACATCTGTGCTCATCCTCCTCTACTTTATACGTGGGACACCTGCCACAGGATGGCTTGACAAGTGGTACTCAAGTCTGCACCTGGTGAACCCCAGGCCACTGAAGCCAAATGTGCAAACTTAATCACTGTCCCACCAGGCTGGCCCCATTAATGATTTCTTTACTAATGATTTTATATTTGTTATATTTATTTTGATTTATAGGAAAAGTTTAGGTTTTCTGCTTTGTCAGAATTCTGTGAAATTGAATATATTGAGTGCTCTGCAAGAGGACTGCACCCCTGCTATTATCCAGTGATATTCACGTATAGGGTTTGTTATTACTGTTTCCGAGTGAGCTATTTCACAAACGCTGAGCCTGTACATCACATTTCAGAAAGTATATTTGGTGAAACTTTTCTCATAGCTAAATTTGGCTCATGGGTCGTCTTGTTTGTTTCTTTTTAAAGTTTCATAACCTACCAGGATTCTCATGTGAGAGACCACTTACTATTGTGAGTGTGACTCACCTTTGTTTTCTCCCCTGGTTTTTGTGCTGATCTTCAATATCATGATCTTCCCATGTTTTTCCTGAAATGCAGACGCAGAAAGTTGATATAGAAAAGTTTTTAGATTCTAAGACCATGATAAGCTATGACCATATCTGGTTTATTTACCAACACCCCCCTTTCCACATTCCACATCTTAGAACAATGTTGATGGGCAAGATAGACATGTTCTCTAATTGATGCAGTGAAGGAATGTCCTCATTCTTACCTACTGAGGCCAGGATCCTGAAAGTTTCCCACATCACATCTCTGTAGAGTTTCTTCTGTGAAGGATCCAGTAAAGCCCACTCCTCTGAGGTGAAGCTCACAGCAACGTCCTCAATGACCACTGAGTCCTGAAACACCACAAACGTTTGTATAATAGGATGCATAAGACTGACAGCAGTGGACATCCATTCTCCCTTTGTAGGAAGGTTGTGTATGACTGCATCATCTCCAAACATTTATTCTATGATGTGATCATCAAAACTCACTGTTTTTCTGTACACACTTCCTCATCAATTTAACAGCATGATGAACATGGAAATTATTTACACATTTTTACTCTGATCACCTTTCATCATATTTCTCTGTTATGGCAGGTTCAAGAACATTTTGGGAAATGACAAATGCCATACAATGAAGCAAATATTATCATTATCAGACAGAACAAAAAAGGCAGAACACAATATCCATAAAGCCTAGGACAACCCTCTTTAACAGAAGGTCTAAAATACACATAATGGGAATACCTGAAGGAAAAGAAAGAGAAAGAAACAGAAAAAACAAGTGAAGTAATAATCATCAATATATCCTAAAACTATTGATAGCCAGCAAACTGCACATCCAGGAAGCTCAGGGAACACTAAACATGATAAACTACAAAAGTGCACACTCAAGTATATCATATCCAAACTAGAGAAAAATCAAACATAGAGAATATATTGGGAAATGCCAGAGAAGAAACACACCTTAGGTATAAGGAAACAAACATTTGAATTAAATTGGACTTCTTTTCAAAAACCATGCAACAAGAACAGAGTAGAGTGACATATTTAATGTGCTGAAAATTAAAAAAACCCATTTTCCTGGAATTCTCTGTCAAGCAAAATTATCCTTCAAAAATAATGAAGAAATGAGGACTTTCTGAGACAAAAATTGAGGAAATTTGTCATGAGTCACTTACTTTGAATGAATTGTTCAACAATTTATCAGAAAAGTAAATGATAAAGGTAGAGGATTAGAATAGAAAAAATGAAAGTAAAATATATTTTATATTTTTCCAATTAATATAACAGATGACATTTTATTTAAAATAATAACAGCAGCAATGTGTTTGGTAATGAGAAGCTTATGGACCAGAGAAATAAATGACAGCAATGTGACAAGGCACAGGGAGCAGAATTGGGAACAGTGTGTTATGAAGTGTTCGCAGACAGTGACATGTTATAGTGTTATGTGACAGAAAAGGTGGGTTAGGTGTAAATGTGTACTGAAAACTCAAGGGCAATCAACTAAAAGAATTTTTCAAAAAATGTGTAATTGATATGCTAGGAGAGGAAAAAAGGAATCAAGTAAAATGCTCAATTTCAGCAGAGAAGGTAGAAAAAATGTGGAAGACAAAAAAAAGTGAGAAAGATGGTGGCAAAGTCAGACTCTGAACTCACCTCCTCCCACAGACACAACGAATTTACACTGCTCTTGGAACAATTACCCCTCAGAGAGAACTGCAAACTGGAAAAAAGAATCCAACAAGGGACAGTGCAGACTGAGGTGGAAGAGGCAGAAATTCCTTTCTGGAGAGAAAAAGAGCCAACTTGTAGCCATGATGCTTCACAGCTGGCCGGGAGCAACCTTAAGGTATGAAGCCTTCCCTGGAGGGTGAGGGACCTCAGCAGGGGAGTGTTACCACAATAACAGCTTTTGGACTTGGCACAACCGAGACAAGTGTCGTAATACCTGGCTTTTCTGGCTATGAAGTATGATGGAGAATAACCCCAGAAAAGCTATCAGACATAAGGGGGAAAAAAGCCTGCTCTTGAAAGGCCCACACACGAGTTCACCCATCACCAGAAAGAAAGGTGTAGAGTCCTTTGGTAAAAAGAGACTCATGTGATAGACTCTGGGTGCATCTTGGTGAGAGGTGAGACCTCTCTAGGGACTGAGACACTCGTAGGAGCCATTGTTGTGACCTAATATAGGCATGCTGACACAGACGCTGGCAGATGCCACTGGAATCCTTCCCCTGGCCTGTTAGCCCAGGGTCTGCCCTACCCACTAGAGCACCAATTTAATCCAGCTTAGCTAGGACAGGCAACCCACACTAGGGACTGGCCCCACCCAAGAGCAAGCCCTTGGGCAACTTGTGGGCCCACATAGGTGGGGTGTCTGGAACCTTTGCAATTAGGTGAGTGGGTCTGCCTCTGTGGGGCAGGGCATGTGCGATGGGTGGGCCTGCATTGGTAGACTGTGTGGGGCCTCTGCACTGGGGTGACTGGGTCCACTACAGTGGGTCAGGGCATGTGCATGAGGCAGGACTGTGTTGATGGGGTGTGTCACCCCGTAGGTGGTGGGGCCTGTCAGCTGCAGGAGACTTGTGCTTCTGACACAGCCACATAGGAGATCGGCCCCACCTTCAAAAGTCTGAAACAATTGAGTGCTCCCATGTCTGGGGCTGGCCCCATTCAGCTGCAACCCTAAGAGAGCTAACTCCAGCCTTGCAGCCCAGAGGCCTACAGCAATTGTAAGACCGTGAGCCTAGCAATCAGCCACTCTAGGGGCTTACACACTTAAGAGGAAAACTGCAACAGGAGTGTGCTATTAGACCTTGTAGCCAACTGTACTGGGGCTCCCCATGCCCAATAAAGTGCCTGAAATGACCAAGGCAGCCACACACAACTGAGCATTACAACAAGCTGGCCAGCAGGACAGCCTAGCCTCCCTGGGCACTTACAGCAAGAGCAACCATCCCATGACACAAGGACACACATAGCCCACATAGGGGACACTCCTGGAACATTTGGAACTGGTGACAAGAGGGAAGCAAACTACTGGACTGCATAAGGCATCTCTTACATAAGGCCACCTCTTCAAGATCGGGAGACATGGCTGACCCACCTACTACAAAGATATAAGCACAGAGAAAGAGGCAAAATGAAGAGACAAAGGAATACCTTCCAAATAAAGGAACAGGACAAAACCCCAGAGAAAGAACTCAACAAAACAGAAGTAAACAATCTGCATAACAAACAGTTCAAACTAAGAGTTATAAGGATGTTCACTGATCTTGGGAGAAGAATGGATGAATTCAGTGAGAATGTCAACAAAGAATTGGAAATTATAAAAAAAGAAAAAATCAGAAATGAAGAATACAATACTAGAAATGAAAACTTCACCAGAGGGACTCAATAGCAGAGTAGATGTTACAGAAGAACAGATCACTGAGCTGGACAAAAGACTAGAGGAAATCACCCAAGGTGAACAGATAAAAGAATTAAAAAGAACAAGGACAGTCTAAGGGAACTCTGGGACAACATCAAGTGCACTAACATCCATTGTATAGGTGTCCCAGAAGGAGAAGAGAGAGAGAAAGGGGCAGAGAATCTATTTGAAGAAATAATAGCTGTCAACTTTCCTAACCTAAGGAAGGAAACAGACATCCAGGTACAGGAAGCACAGAGAGCACCAAACAAGATAAAACAAAGAGGCCTACACCAAGACACATTATAACTAAAATGTCAACAATTAAAGATAAAAGGAGAATCCTAAAAGCTGTAAGAGAAAGACGGCAAGTTATATACAAAGGAAACCCTGTTCCTGGCTCTTAATACCAGCTCTGATATCAGTTCCCTTACAGTGAACCCAGTGTATATGGGGTTAAAACTAAAAGCACACATTCCAAGTCCCCTACTTCTTTAGTTACACTCACATGTAAATGCGTCTTTAACCTCTGACTCCCTGAGCTTTACAACCAAATAGAAGTTACAAATTGTTAAAGCCCACGTGGCCTCAAGTTGGGCTGCCACTAAAGTTGTGGCTGATACAGATCCTTGAAGTTCTTTTACAGAGAAACTAATGCCAAGAGAATATCAAGAAACTGAAGCTTCCCAGAGCTTCCTGGCACCACAATCCACCATCTGCCACAGAGACAAACAGCCAAGGACACCCCTGTGTGAATTCTCTTATCTTGCCCTGCAAATGGGCTCACAAGGCCAAATGCAGAGTGGTGGGAAAACGCCAGCCAAGGCTACATGCCCACCTCCTCTACCTAAAACCCCAAATAAAAACCCCTACCCATTTCTTAACAGGGAGCTAGCAATTCTTGAGGCACTAGGTGCTGCTTTGCTCCCCCTGCCTGGCAAAGTAAAGCTGTCTTTCTTTTTCACTCAAGACTCTGTTCTTGTTATTGGGATTGACATTGGGTTCAGAGACCAAACTTTCAGTAACAACCCCATGAGGCTATCAGCAGACATCTCAGCAGAAACCCTACAGGCCAGAAGGGAGTGGCATGATATATTTAAAGTGCTGGAAAAAAAAAAAAACCCTACAGCTAAGAATACTCTACCTGGCAAGGTTATCATTCAGAATGGAAGGAGAGATAAAAGAGTTTCCCAGACAAGCAAAAACTAAAGGAGTTTAGCACCAAGAAACTAACTTTACAAGAAATGTTAAAGGGACGTATTTAAGTGGAAAAAAGACCACAAATTGGAAACAGAAAATTATGGGAAAAAAACTAATAAAATCACTGGTGAAGGCAAATACACAAAGGTAGCAGATCAACCACCTAGGAAGCTAACATGAAAGTCAAAATACAAAAGTACTAAAGCTGTCTATTTCCACAATAAGAGGGTAATGGATACACATGCACAAAAAAAGAGGTTAGATATGATATCAACAACATAAAATGTGGGAGGAGGGGAGTAAAAGAGTAGAGCTTTTAGCAAAAGGTCAAACTAAAGAGAGCATCAACTTAACATAGATTGCTATATCCATAGATTATTACATATGAACCTCATGGTAATCACAAAATTAAGAGAAAGGAATCCAAACATAATACTAAACAAAGCCATCAAACCACAAGGGAAGAGAGCAAGAGAAGAAGAAAGGAACAGAGAAGAACTACTAAAACACCCAGAAAAAAAGTAACAAAATGGCAACAAGTACATACTTATCATTAGCTACTGTAAAAGTCAATGGACTAAGTGCTCCAATCAAAAGGCACAGGGTTGCTGATTGGATAAAAAAACAAGAGCCATATATATGCTGCATACAAGAGACACGCTTCAGACCTAAAGACACAAACTTAACTGAAGGGATGGACAAAGATACTCCATGCAAATGGCAATGAAACGAAAGCTGGGGTAGCAATACTTATTTCAGAAAAAATACACTTTGAAACAAAAACTATAACAAGAGACAAAGCAGGACGCTATATAATGATAAAGGGAACAATCCAACAAGAGGATATAATACTTGTAAATATCTATGCAGCCAATATAGGAGCACCTAAATATATAAAACAATTATTGACAGACATAAAAGGAGAAATAGACAGCAACACAACAACAGCAGGGGACTTTTAATGCTTCACTTACACCAATGGATACATCAAATTGAAAATCAGTAAGGAAACACTGGCCTTAAATGACACATTAGACCAGCTGGTCTTAGCAGATATACACAGAATATTCCATCCAAAAACCACAGAACACACGTTCTTTTCAAATGCACAGAGAACATTGTCCAGGACAGATGACATATTACGCCATAAAACAAGTCTCAATAAATTTAAGAAGACTGAAATAATAGCATCTTTTCTGAACGCAAAGGTATGAAAGCAGAAATCAAGTACAGGAAGAAAATTAGCCACAATTATGTGGAGATTAAACAAAATACTACTGAACAACGACTGGGTCAACAAAGAAATAAAAGGAGAAATAAAAAAAACACCTGGAGACAAATGAAAATACGACATACCAAAATTTATGGGACGCAGCAAATGTGGTTCTAAGAGGAAAGTTTATAGCAATAAAGGCCTACCTCAGCAAACAAGAAAAATCTCAAATAAACAGTCTAACAGTGCACCTAAAGGAACTGAAAAAAGAAGAAAGCCCAAAATCAGTAGAAGGAAAGAAATAATAAAAATCAGAGCAGAAATAAATGAAATAGAAACTAAAAACACCATAGAAAAAGATCAGTGAAACCAAGAGCTGGTTCTTTGAAAAGATAAACAAAATTGACAAGCATTTAGCTAGACTCACCAATAAAAAGGAAGGCTGAAATAAATAAAATCAGAAATGAAAGAAGAGAAATTACAACAGATACCTCAGAAATACAAAAGACTATAAGAGAATACTATGAAAAGCTGTACGCCAACAAACTGGATAATCTAGAGGAAAGGGATAAATTCTTAGAATCATACAACCTTCCAAAATGGAATCAAGAAGAAACAGAGAATTTGAATAGACCAATCACCAGTAAGGAGATCGAAACAGTACTCAAAACCCTCCCCAAAAATAAAAGTCCAGGACCAGACAGCTTCCCTGGTGAATTCTACCAAACATTCAAAGAAAACTTAACACCTATCTTTCTCACACACTCCCCAAAAATTGAAGAGGACAGGAAGCTTCATAACTCATTCTATGAAGCCAACATTACCCTGATACCAAAACCAGACAAGGACCACACACAAAGAAAGAAAATTACAGGCCAATATCACTGATGAAAATCGATGTAAAAATCCTCAACAAAGTACTAGTAAATCAAATACAATGATACATTTAAAAGGTCATACACCATGATCAAGTGGGATTTATTCCAGGGATGCAGGGATGGTTCAACATCCACAAATCAATCAATGT